AGGAGGAGGAGGAGGAAGGGGGGGAGGAGGGGGGGGGAAGGAGGGGGGGCGCGAAGAGAGATGGAGGAGGAGGACCAGAGTACGAAAACTCAGGGTGCGTCAGCGATGCTGCAGTGCACCCTCCCGTCCCTTACAGCCGGGGCGTTGACCTAAGGAACCCTACATCAGGAACGAGGCCCCTTTTTCCCATAAATTCAACCTCGATTTCCCAAAGCCGACCTTGAGCAACCTCGTAATTGAGTCGAAGGGAAGCCCCTTCCCTTTGATCCCTCCCCCGCCGGGAGGGGGGGGGGGGTAGCGACCCCCCCCCCGGGTCAGATACGACGCCCCCCCCTGGGACTCCTCTTCCCCTGGGCTCCAGCCAAGCCGACCTTGAGCAACCTCGTAATTGAGTCGAAGGGAAGCCCCTTCCCTTTGATCCCTCCCCCGCCGGGAGGGGGGGGGGGTAGCGACCCCCCCCCCGGGTCAGATACGACGCCCCCCCCTGGGACTCCTCTTCCCCTGGGCTCCAGCCAAGCCGACCTTGAGCAACCTCGTAATTGAGTCGAAGGGAAGCCCCTTCCCTTTGATCCCTCCCCCGCCGGGAGGGGGGGGGGGGGTAGCGACCCCCCCCCCCGGGTCAGATACGACGCCCCCCCCTGGGACTCCTCTTCCCCTGGGCTCCAGCCAAGCCGACCTTGAGCAACCTCGTAATTGAGTCGAAGGGAAGCCCCTTCCCTTTCATTCCTCCCCCGCCGGGAGGGGGGGGGGGTAGCGGGGGGGGTAGCGACCCCCCCCCCGAGTCAGATACGACGCCCCCCCCCCGTACCGACCTTGAGCAACGTCGTCATTGAGTCGAAGGGAAGCCCCTTCCCTTTCCCTTCCCCGACGGGGGGGGGAGAGGAGGTCCCGGGGGGGGTCCCGGGGGAGTCCCGGGGAAGTCCCGGGTCAGATACGACACCTCCCTCCCCCACCTTCTCGTCCTTCTCCCCGTTCCCCCAAACCATCCCACAGCCCGTGCCTCTTGCTGCGCATTGCGAACAGGGTCGGCGGCACCGGCCGTCAGGCCTTCGCAATAAGGAACGAGGCCCCTTTTTCCCATAAATTCAACCTCGATTTCCCATGGAAAACCTCAGGAAAACCTGAGGCAGACTGTTAAACACTCAAGGAGCGCCGAGCCCCTCCCCAACGAAAAGGGTTCCTTCTTCAGGGCCCCGACTGTATCCACTCTCGTGCATCCTTACAGATATCCCTTTCCACTGCCAACTCTGTGGCACGAAGGGCAGCACTGTGCAAAAGCTTGACGAGTGGGGAGCAGCTCCTTTTCAGAATGGCGCCGCACACTGCATGACCACAAGCTGGGAATCGTGCCATTCCTCGACGGATGGACGGCACATCATTTTCAAAGAGGGGGTAGCGCTTGGCTGTTCTTCGAATCTGATCGTCCCATTTCTTATGCCTTAGCGCTTATGTATACGAAAGTCGAGCGACAGGTCTGGGTCATGTGCAACATTGGGTATTGTCTCGGCATCGCTCGGACGTGTGCATGTTTCCGTCGGTGAGGACCATCGAGGAGCATCCTTGATCATTTGGCGGAAAAACCACGCACGATACCGCAAAACAACACAGGGAATGTACGTCCGAGCGATGGCCAGTTGTCCGAGGTGCAAGCCAACAGGGCGCCCGTCATTCAAGGTGGCCCTTCCCGAGAAGCTCAGCTCCCAAGCGAGAACATCAATGCGAAAACTGCTGCACGCGTTGAAGGCAAACGCGCGCGGCGCTAATCCGAGAGCTGCATACCGAAAACTGCTGGCCCTCCGTCGTGGTAGCAATCGCGAGCTTTTAGCACGCATGTGCGCGGTGATACGGCGATAATCTCAGTTTGACAACCAGCGGCCCTCCATTTCCGTAGCTGTTTGATACTATAGTATGTTTGTTGTGTAGCTTCACACTTGTAACTTGCGAAGAACTATCAAGCGAGATAGGAGGATGCTCTTCGGCGGTTCCACCAAGTTCTGGGAGATATTTAGGGGGGTCTCGATGGGTCCTCCTGCTCCTCCTCCTCTTCCTCCTCCTCCTCCTCCTCCTCCTCATTCCTCATCTCTCTTCATCCCCCTCGACCCTCGAGGTTCGAATTTCGAGGGCAACGGATCTTTCATGCTACTGGCCCTTCTTGTGCCTCTGGAGGCCGCATGGGACCTCTGGAGACCTCCTCTTCCTCCTCCTCCTCCTCCTCCTCCTCTTCCTCCTCCTCCTCCGCCTCCTCCTCCTCCTCCTCCTCCTCCTCCTCCTCCCCCTCCTACTCCTCCTCCTCCTCCTCCTCCTCCTCCTCCTCCTCCTCCTCCTCCTCCTCATCTGAACCACTGTTCACAGCTCCCTCCGTGGGGAAGGCAGAGAGCCGCTGGGGTAACGCGGAGGGACTGCGGGCTGCTGGGGCAACACATGGTAACACTGGCGTCAACACCAACGAGTCCCTCCAAACGAGAGGTCACGTGGTCCGTTTCGGACTCCTCGAGGGGCCCCGTGAACTCCTGGGGGCCCGTCAAAGGCCACGGGGCCCCGTGGACTCTCCTGGGCGCCCCGGAAGGAAGATACCAGGAATTCTCGGGGGATCCAGGCGGAGACATCCTTGGGACGAGCCTGGCCGCAGGGTCCCAGACGGCACGCTGGCCCGAATGTCGAAAGCGTGGTGCAAGCTGCGCAGGACATGCCTGGAGCTTCATCAATGCGCAAGAGAACACCAGACGGGCTCCGTTCTTTCTTCTTCCTCGAGGCCTAAGTAACATGTCGGACGGCCGGCTTCCTACTTCAAGCGTGGATTTGCCTCACAACCTCGACCACTTCACCTAGAGCAGTCTGATTCAGCCGTGAAGGAAGAAATCGGATCACCGATGAAAATTACCGCCGTGAAGGGAGACATCGGATCACGGAAGAAAGAACAAACAAGACGGGCTCCTCCTCTCCCTGCCCCTCCGACGAGCAGCCTAACGGCCGCTGGGGGGCAACCCTGCGGCTTACTGCAATATTGTTTGAGGCGACGTGCGCGACACCGTTCGCCAGCGCACTGGCCGAAGCAGGAGGGGCGGGCGACGCTCCTGGACCACTTGCCGCACCTCGGCGGAACCCACGGAGACGAGCTTGCTAAGCAGCGGGAATATCTCGGGCATGCACCTCGGCTCAGGCGACCTCCACGACCTGCACTCCTCCCACCTATCGCACTCATTGTCGCCGTCGTCCAACGACATCTTTCACTCCTCCGCCCTTGACGCCGTCGTCGTCGTCGTCGTCGTCGTCGTCGTCGTCGTCGTCCAGTCCGACGGTGAGAGCGACGACAACGACCGTCCTCTTTCATTCCTCCATCCATCCATCACAATTACATGCTGCCCCAATCCGTCATCGCATCCTCTCCTCTTCTCTGCGCTTCATCTTCCTCCTCGGGCTCCTGCTCGTCCTGGCCTCATCCTGCTTTTCACGGCCTCCACTCTCCTCCTCCTCCCCCTCCTCCTCCTTCTCCTCCTCCTCCTCCGCCTCCTCGTCATTCTGTCATGCTCTCCTCCTCCTCCTCCTGCTCCTCATCCCCTCCACTTCAGCATAAGCGGCACACAACTCCCCGTACACCTGCGACAACGTGTTGGCCTAGCCAGACATGTTTTGAACTGCGCCCTGCGCCGTCGACTGAGGGGCGCTTGAGGGACGTCCAGGACGTCGCGCGGTCGGGCGTCGAGAGGTGCTTTCCGACAATAGGGGAACACAAAGTGACATAAACATAAAAACTCGGAGGTCCGCGGTATCTGTTGTATCTGTTGTATCTGTTGTATCTGTCTCGGCACCAGAGCCTGATGAGCACATGCAATCATCCATCGGCGTGAGGCTCGAACCCGCTAAGGAAGCGAGGGTACAGGCAGTGTTACCCAAAGTGCTGCCCGAACTAACGAAAAACCATTGCTGCGCGTGAGTGTTGCTACATTCCCGTTCTGTACGTTTCACATCTTACACAACAGCCATGTCCGGCGATGAAGCTGGTGTCCGTGGCTCGGCAGGTGAACTCCCACCAGGGAGGACTGCTGCCCGGCGCAATCGGCCACCGTTGTTGGCCCCTGCGTCTGGGTTGAGTGCCGGGCGCGGAACCCAGTCAGAGAGAGGAGGACCTGAGGAGCGGTCAGGCCGTGACCGTTCGCGCTCCCCTGCGGCGCCTGCGGCGGCAGGCGACGCCGAGCGCCGATCCGCACAAAGTGAGTTTGCTATGCTGAAGGCCCTTGTGGACACGGAGCTGAAAGGTTTCGTGCCGCAGGATATCCTTAAGAAAATCCGCAAAGCTACCAACGACTTGAAGGCGCACATCGACAGCCTGCAGAAGGTCAATGAACGGACCGAGTCAACGAAGGCGGACATTGCCAAGTTGGAGGGCGGCCACTTCCCTCCAGGTTGCCGCCCGTTCACTTTGTCATACGAGTCACCCTTACTGGACACATCCCGCGTGGACCAGCTCGAGATGAGGTTGGATTTGACGGGGAAGACTGTGCGCGAGGCCAAGAGGGCAGCATACAGTTACCACATTGTGGTCCAGAAGAAACTTGATTTGATCTTCATGGCTCGGCAGCGCGAGGAATTCCGTCGCCTGACGCGGAAGGACCATTTCGTGCAGCAGTGCGCTGCATCTGTCTCCTCGCACACCGATGAGTCCATTGCAGCCCTGGACCTCGATCTGGAAGGAGGCGTGGATTCAGAGGCCGGCCTTCTCGATGCAGGCGTGTCCGTGGTTCAGATCACGGCAAAGGCGAACGTCCTCTACGCGAAGACGGTCGCCCACGCTGCCGCCGCCAAGGCCCGCATGAAGGAGGAGCGGGCCAAGGAGGCAGCCCGCAAGGAAAAGTTGGTCCAGGAACTGATCACCACGAAGCCAGCCGACCTCTTCAACATGGCCGTCGATTCCCGGCTGGCCCAGCGCGGGCGCGGGGCGGGCAAGGGCCCTGGCTCGCGCCAGACACTTTCCCTACATGCTGCTTCGTTGTTCTCAGGCGCTGTGAGCGGCACTGGCGCCGTCCAGTGGGAGGGAGGATGCCGAGGCCGTTGCGTCGTCAAAAAACGGCGCGTCCCCGCCCGTCAAGGGCGGGGGCAAGGTCTCAGGCAAAGGCAAGCAGCCAGGAGGCAAGCAGCAGGGCAGTTCAAAGGGAAAAGGGAAAGGCAAAGGGGCCGGTGGCAAGTCGAAGGGCAAGTCGAAGTCCCAGTCCAAGTCCTCGGCGAAGGGCTCCGGCAAGGGTTTCGACAAGGGCTCCGCCAAGGGGGCCAAAGGCAAGAAGTCTGGCAAGGGCAAGAAGGGCACCGCCCCAGAGCGTTACGACACGTCGGCGCGTGGAGGGCGCAGAAACTGGAGAGGGTACTGAATTGGGAGTCGTGTCGCCGGCTGAGGAGGAGGAGCGAAAGGAGCCATGAGAGCGTGCTTGCTGCCATGTTCCTCCGCCTTACTCGCGATCTTCCTTCTCCCGATTTTAATTCCCTCCTCTCTTGTTCTGCCATGCCCGTATATCTTTACCATCCCGAGTCTAGCTCCGTTTCGGTGCCGACCGAGTGCACCCTTGCGTGGCCAGTCAGGCTTCTCCTCACGATGTTTCACCGCAAACATCTATTTGCATTCCAGCGTAGGCCTGATTTGTCTCAAGTGTCTCTTGCTTTGTGGAATTGGGAGCATAAGGTCCGATGGCGGTACCATTTCTCTTCGCGCACAGGGACCGCCGATAACCCTTACAGGCACTTATTGTCCAAGCGTTCTGCCACGCGTGAGTGCCCTGTTGAGATCCCTGTGTTTGCGCAGTGCATGTTGGATGCTGTGAAGCGCGATGTGTGGAAGGCGTGTTTGGTCCACAGCAGACGTTTTTCGAACTGTGTACCTGCTGTGGTTAAGTTCGCCATCGAATTGCTTCGCAAAGGAGACGTCGGCGCCCTTCCTACGGACAAAGATGCGGGTTTCTGTCTGTTGCAGAAGCTTGACTTGCATGATTGTTTTAATCGTCTGTTGTCTGGGCCGTCGTATCGCGAGTACCCTGCCACGTTCGAGTTTGCTCGTGCCGTCACGCATGATTTCGTTGACGGTGTGAAGGAAGCGTGTGGCATACTAGAAGATGACGCCTTGGCTCTCCGATGTGAGCTTGGACCGGTGCAGCGGCATCATCTCCAGGGTAGGGGCCACCGTAAAGACGCACAAGCCAGCCGGTAAGGTTGATTTGCGCTTGTTGCACTGCAGTGGCCGCACTCCCATGGCTCCGGCCATGCGTTGGGTCTCTGAGAAGTTGCTGCCAGGTTTACGGTCCATCCCATTTCTGGCACGTGACACCAAACAGCTGTTGAGCATTATGTCATCTGTGCGCGTCCCAACAGGCTGCCACCTAGTGAAAATTGATATTAAAGATTATTTTATGAGCGGTGTCCATAGCGATCTTGTGTCTCACTCGTCTGCATTTTTGGATGGTGATTTGAAGGCTGCGTTCAAAACTCTCTTGTCCACCATCCTCGATTGCCAATACGTGACTTGTGATACCTGCCCAGGCGTCGTCTGGAAGGTTTTGGTCGGCTCCGGAATGGGACTCCAGTGCAGCGGGGAGGTTTCGGATGCCGCCTATTTCAATCAAGTCGAGCGTGACACTGTCGCTTGCCCATTGTTTTGTGCAGCTCACGGGATACTTGTTCTCTCTGGGTCCTGTGATAGCCTGGATGAGTGCATCCAGGTGCTGCAGGACCGCTCCACGGTGTTCAAACTTGAGGTGGAGAGCGTTGCGTATGATGAGGTCCAGATGCTTGATGTTGTGTTCTACCGCGGCCCTCAGTGGCAGGACACGCAGGTCCTGGACCACAGGGTTCACATCAAGAGGTCTTCATTGTGGCTCCCACTGAACGACCGGAGCATGCATCCACCTAGCGTCCATGCCGCTTGGCCGATTGCGCACGTTAGAAGAGTTCGCCGCCTGTGTTCAGAATCCAAACACGCAGACGCGGAAGTCGGTAAAATTTGCAAGCTTCTGGCGCGATCCTCCTCTCATCTCGCGCTGATTCCCAGAATTCGTTCTGTAAATCTCCCGCTTTGTCCCGCCACCATTCGTTTTCCCAAATTTAATCCCTATTCTCGCATCGTTCTCCCATTTTGCTTGCAATGGCAGGGTGCTGGCATCCAGCGGGTAGTGAACCGCTCTGTTAAGCCATGGCGGTCGCTATGCCCTGAGTTGGCCTCTGTGGGAGTCGCGTGGAGGCTAGGGGACAAACACCTGGTGCAGAGGGTGAAGGCCCTCAATTCTTCGCATATGCCCGGGTACGGCCTCAAAGCAGTGCTGTGATTTTAATGGATGGTAGGTGGTGGACTTGTATCTGTTGTATCTGTCTCGGCACCAGAGCCTGATGAGCACATGCAGTCATCCATCGGCGTGAGGCTCGAACCCGCTAAGGAAGCGAGGGTACAGGCAGTGTTACCCAAAGTGCTGCCCGAGCTAACGAAAAACTATTGCTGCGCGTGAGTGTTGCTACATTCCCCCTCCCTGTACAAAACCACCCTTTAGTGAGAACGGCCTGGGACCGAAACCGGCGGACCTGGACCCGCAAAAATGACGGCCACGACGCCCTCCCGCGAACCGAAAACGGCCAATTCCCTCCCTCGACGTGTCAGGGTAGGAGTTCTACCAACCTCCGACCCTAAACAAAAGTCCTGTCCCTTTGGGAGGGGACCTAAGTTAGGAGGGCCAGAAGCAGTAGGGATAGGGGGTCTTTCCTGCAGATGTATCGGACCAAACCGCTCAAATATATTATCCCTCATGCGAAGACGGGGACCTCGGTGAGTCCGCGTCTTGATCGTGCTATTAGGGTTATGGATTCTTTCGTGCTCGATGAGATGTGTGCAGCCAGGTGAGCCCCAGCGGGGGGGTCCGATACCCGAGCGTCAAATTAGGTCACCCAGCTTCGCGCATAGCGCTTCCCGCGATGCGCGACGCGTCACCACTTTCGCGCTCTCGCGCCGCCCCCTGGCGAAGGAGTCCCAGCGGCCCAAGGTCCGCGAGGCGCGGAGCGCGGTTGCCTTTGCGCCCCTGGGGGCGACCCAGTTGGCGGCGCGCAGGGAGAGCAAGGGGAGGGGGAAGGCTTCGTAGAAGGAGGCTGCTTCTTAGGAGCCTTCCCCCCTCACCCCACCCTTA